TTATCTAAGAATGAGCAGTCTTAAGCAATCTTTAGATCTACAGTGGCTATAATTTCACTCTCAAGGCATGTGAATCCAGTCGAGGTAGGTTGTTGCTCAATAAGGATGACAGCATCTCTACAAGATGAGGAGAGCTATTGGTTGAACTTTGAAGATAAAAAAGAAGAGGTTGTGAGTAAACTTATTGATTTGGAAACAAAGGACATGGAAATGGTGCAAAAAAAAAAAGGAAAATGGCGAGTTAGTTGAATGGCTGTTCTAGGAGGTGTCATGAGTACTATTCTTTTATAAAGAAGCTATTATAATGGAATATAAGGGGGTTAGGTAGGCCTAAAAAACAAAGGAAAATCAAGAAAGTACTCAAGGATATGAAAGATTGACATGGTGCTTTTGAAGAGACAAAAATGAAGGGAACAATGCAGAGCTTGTGAACTTTATTGGTCAATTAATTCAGAGGGTGCAATTGTAGGCTACTCTGTATCTGGAATCCTGAGGTTTTTCAGCTCAGTGAATGTTGTGCAAATCCAATTTTCTTTACTACAGGTACAATCTTTTTAAATTTTAATTGTGTAGTGTGAATGTTATGGGCCAAATGATTCTTGCCTAGAAGAAAGGGGTGTGGGATATTCTAATGAGGCTCAAAACACAGTTCTTGTACCATGGTGCTTGGGGATGATTTTAATGAAATTGGGTATCTCTGAAAGAAAATGATGCTCTATGAGGGATAAGGGATGAAGGAGTTCAATGAGATGGTTGAGCAGTTTGAGATGTCTAATTATCAATGTGTAAAAGGAAGTTCACATGGTGTAACTCAACATGAGAGGTGACAGATGGACATGATTGATAGATTTTTACTAAATCAAAATGGTTGCAGGCTTTCAACTTTAGTTGTGGGGTTTACCAAGATTGATCTCTAACCATTACCCTCCCGTCTTATCTAATGAAGATGAGAGAGATTGGCCCTAGACCATTTAGGTACTTAATGCCTGGTGTAGACACCCATTTTTGACCGACCTTAAGACCTCAACAATCACCGATTGAGCGCTCGGTGACGTTGCATATCGTGCTCGTTCAAGAAGTCTCAGAGTCGCGGCCGTGAGCCTGTCTCCGGATTTTCGAACCCTCTTCTGTGGCCTTGCCTCGGTTTGCGAACCAGACTAGGTTTTCTCTGTTTCTTACCAAAGGAGGGAGGGTCTCGTAGATCATCTCTCAGTGCCGTAGGCTACGTTTCGTGTCGTAGGCCATTTTGCCCATTTCGGAGCCCGGTTTCCGTTTTTCGGGACCGTGCCGTGTGCCTCGGTTCGGGACCGCCTAACCACCCTCCATTTGCCCGGTTTTTGGCATTACCTCTCATTTACTCCCTTTTGAGGGACACTGAGGTCTGAGAGACTCTCGTGGTCGAATGCCACTTTCGTGCTTAACAGGCAGTTTTCGGGGGCCCGTACTGCGCGTTCGGCCCCGGAACATTCGTTTGCATCGGTTTTCGTTCATTTTGCAGGTACCCTCTGTTTCATCACCAGGAAGGCGTAGAAGTTGGGGCAGCTGCAATTGTTTCAGCAACCAGTTATATTTCGCCGGCGCCCTCGACGTCTTGTCTTTTTTCTCACTTCCAAGCCAATGTTGAATACCCTTGGGCCATTTTCTCAAACTTTTAACACATATTTGTGATGTACACACATGGGAGGACACCAAAGTTGGTGGTCGGCCACTAATGTTGATTGACCCTTTTGAACCCCTCCAAAAAGTGGGCTTTTCTCTCTCCTGGTTCACTTTCTCAGTTTTTGACCACATGGTTGTGTTTGTGCACACATGGGAGGCACCAATATCATATGGTCGCCACTAATTCTCATTGACCTTTTGACCTTGGCCGGCCGGCCATGAAAGGTGGCGCGGCGGCCATCTGCAGCTCCAAAAGTTGGCCGGCTTGTTCTCACACTGTGTGTACTTTACAGCTGTATAGCTGTTTTCTCCCAAAAATATCTATATCCGGGGCACCACCTTTGTGGGAGAACTTGTCCTTTTTCCCCACTCTTTTCGTCCTTTTTTCCCTCTCTTGGTCCATATAACCAGCCTCCAGCTCTGGTTTGAAGGGTTGGAAGAAATTACCTTCAAGCCTTGCATTCATATCTCGCCTCCATCTCTCTCATTTCCTTGAATTCCTAAGTTCTACACCATCTGTCTTCATCAGCCACCAAGCACCACCACACTACTCCATTTCCAGAGCTTGAAGAGCTTTCGAGAAGCTTCGCAGTAGGAGGCATCACTTCTCAAGCCAAGAAGCAACCACAAGACTTGTCTTCAAGGGTGAGTTTCATTTCCCGCCTTTTGGTCATTTCTTGCATCATTTATAAGCATACATGCTTGCTGTTTTGAGCTCCGGCCCTAACTGAAAGTGCCTCTTTGAGCTCTTTTTCACTTTTCTTAAGGGCTCAGCACTGTTTGAGCCCCCCATCTTGCACTTGCTTCAATATCCTCCTTGAATGCCATTTTCTGCATGATATTTTTAGCTTATGTGTGATCTGTTTTGGAGCATGATGTAAACTGTAAGTAGGCTTATTTTTGAGCCCCTCTCAACATTGAAGAAGGGCTCATCACTTTTTGGGACCTCCATGTGCCCTTTTCATTATATCCATCTTTGGTCCCATTTTTGCATGATTTGTTAGCCTCGGATGCTTCTGTTTTGGGCTCTTTTCAGAACTGAAAACAGTCTATTTTGGCCCCTTCATGTTTCATTGTGAAAATACATTGCTATGCCCCTTTCCTGCTCTCTGTTGCAGCAAAATGAAGAATCAACAACTTTTTGGAGCTTGGCATGCTTTCCAAGAATAACTGCTAAACAGAGGCTAATTGGGGCATCCCAGTAGATTTCCGCGCAAAGCAGCCTAAACATACATCATTCATCAGAAACAAGCGTCCCTGCTTGCATGCCAGTTTTACAGTTTTCTTAGTTAATTTGTTAATTAATTAGGAATTTGTATATTATTTGGACTGTACTATTCTTTCATTTGGACTGTATTATTTATTCGGACCCTCTGCGCGAGGGCACAACTGTAATAAGTGTGCGTGTGTGTGTTGTATGTCGTTCAACCCACGTCTTTCTCCCTTTTATTTACCCGATTATGATGGTTAGATTAGGGCATATTTCAATTAGCATACAGTATGATAGCATTGTTTGCATTCATTCATCTGTTTCGCATGCACCGGCTCGGCGCTTCATACTAACTGCATTTGTGTTTCAATTCCAAATTGAATACATGTTAGTTTTAGCATTCCATATGTCATGTTTAGAATAGCCGAGCCTGCTATAGTTGCATTTTTGCATGTGTTGCATTAGGCATTTCTGTATACTTAGGATCATGCATGATTTCTAATGAAGTCTCTGTTTTGGCTGGAGTACTATTATTATTATTATTATTATTATTATTATTATTATTTTTGAGGGCGTTCCCTTTACTTTTTAAGAGTGAGTGAGTGAAGGGACATTTTGCAATAAAACCTCCAAACGTGTTCGTTTGGCACAACCTCATAAATTAATAGAAAATGTTTGGTAGTTCAAAAGTTTGTGGTTCAAATGGCTCAAATCTGTCAAAACGACGTCGTTTTACACTCATTTACACTCAAAACGACGTCGTTTGAGTGATTTGAGCCATTTGAGCCACAAAATTTTGAGCTACATAGCATTGTTGTTTATATATATATATATATATATATATAATTGTCCCAAAAAAATTATTATAAATCAATAAGGGAGAGACTTCTCCCTAATCGACTATGTGGATTGGAGCCTATTGTTAAGCTTGTGGGGCCCACCACGAGTTTCATTTCGATAATAAAAACATTCATTTGGTTGGACAGTTCATGTGTTTCATCCAAAAAAAGAAAAAAGAAATTAAGTCAATCCAATAACTATAACTTATTCAATTTATCGCATTTTTCACTCAAAAAATGAGCAATAATTGTGTTTTTAAAAAATAAACCATATATTTTTTTGATGGAAAAAATAATAAATTAAGCAAGTTGCAACTATCGGATCAATATAATAATAATAATAATAATAATAATAATTATTATTATTATTATTATTATTATTATTTTATGAACGAAATAAACAAAATCTCAATAAAATGAACTATTTAAATAATCAAAATAGGGTCTGTGATAGGCCTAGTCCAAAGGAAATCCTCCTCTTTAATCACTCAATAAAATTAGGAGAACTTATGTGTAGATCCTAATAGGTGAACTTATTGTCCAATAGATCCTATAATAATTAATGGGGCTTTTCATCAAACACTATTAAAAAACATTACAAATTATTAATTTCAGCGGCAATTTGAAATTTTTTTTACAAAAAGTGTCACTAATTATAAATTTGAGCGACCGTTTAAAAAACTCGTCACAAAAAAGTCACTAATTTTCAACTTTCAGCGATATTTTGAAAAATTCGCCACAAAAAAATTTCACTAATTGTGAGTTTTAACAACGATTTATAAAACTGTGATAAAAAAATCACTTAATTATCAATTTTTAACGACATGTACAAAAATCACAAAAGGATATTTTTAACGACGATTTACTAAGACTTATTTCGATAGAACTTGATGAAAATTAAGTCGAACTATTAGAACTTATTAATAATTTATCCATAAAAACTATGCACACAAATGGAAAACATACAACGAAAAAACAATAAGTCTCGCTCTATATTTTTGTATCTATACACCTACCACTGCTGTTAATTACGGAAGGAATCAACATTTTCTAGAACTAATCACACCATTGTTTATTATAGGGACTCAATCAATCTAAATTTCTAATTAGACAATAACAAATAGTAGCATTTCAAAAAGTAATAACATAGTTGAATAAATCAAAGCCGTGAATTATTAGGGAGAGAGTGGTTCCCAACTACCTCATAGAAAATATAAATAAAAGAAGTCCTCTGCACGGTTGACCCACTTGCCATGCTCATAGATATGTCAGATAGATGGACATTTCAAGGGGGGGGAGAGAGAGAGAGAGGGATGAAGCAATTCAGCCATTTCAGCCACCGACACCTTCTAAATTTCACAGAAGTGGAAGAGGAAGATGAGATCATATGCTCAGGTTGTGAGCTAAACCTTTCTGGCTCAGCAGCATACAGTTGCACCAAGTCCAATTGCAGCTTCACCATCCACACCTCATGTTTCGAACTCCCACAACGAATTCGACACCGATCTCACCCCAAACACCCTCTCATTCTTCTCTCATCCCCACCATACAGCGACGGTGAGTTCACCTGTGATGCCTGTGGTGAATCTGGTGTTGCTTTTACATACCATTGCTCTACATGCAGTTTTGATCTTCATGTTGGTTGTGCTTCATTGCCTGAGAGTGAAGATTGTGATGATCATGAACACTCGCTTACTCTCTTCTATTCTTTCCCAAAAGAAGAGCAAGACTCCATCTTCATCTGTGATGTTTGTCATTGTCCTGTTGCCAAGAACTGTTGGATCTATTATTGTAAGGTCTGCAATTATGGAACCCATTTGGATTGTGTAACAGCTCAAGAATGTCCGGATGAAGAATGAGAACTCGGGCCGCGTTTGACAAATGTTTTTTTTGGTATAATTCCTTTTGCTTTTTTAACTTCTAATAAAATATTTGACGGATGCTCTTTTAGTAGTTTATTTGATTTCGTAAATGGGATTTTTTTATGATTTTATTGTTTTTGAAAAATGGTCCATATAATTTTGTTTTTTTTACTTTTATTTTTTGTTTTAAAATATAAATGATTGTATATGAATGTGAATATCATTATTTTGTATCTAAGAATGAAAAAAAAAATGGTAAAAAATAAAATATATATATGTATAACATCACTCTTTGTTTTCTTGGGACAAAATGAAAATTTAATCCTTATTTGATTTTTTTCTTTTTTGGGTAATGCAAGAAAGTGAAGGTGAAACAACAATATTTTGACTTTAACAAGCGAGTGCGTTGCTTGAGAAAATGTAGACAAATTTTACATTTTTGTTTGTCATTTAATTAGTTGTTGCCAAACAAACTACTTTTTTTCTTTTTTTTTTGTTTTTTTCCCCGACATTTTGGCAAAACTGGTTAAATAAGTGGTTACTAATCAGCCCTAGTTTTCTCATTCCTCGCTAAGATTTCTGTGGAAAAAATGTTAAGGGTTTTAAAATTTTATTAAAAAAATATTTCATCAAATGTCTCGTATGAATATAGTTCTCACAATTATGTGAGACCCACTCCATGCAATACATTTGCTAAAATATTTTGTAAAAAATTTTAATATCACTAACATTACTCATACTATAGTGATGAGATTTTAACTGTCAAACCTTGTTCTTTTAAAAATAGGACAAAAATGAGATATCAACAACTAAAAGCTCACCCATATCGAATCAAGGACTCTTCTATTGTTGTTTCAGTGACTTATGTAGTGTTTCCCTCAACTCAATCTACAGACATACTTTTTGGGTAAGATGCAAAGTCAAGTGGAAACAGCCCAGATTGTACGGTAAGAAATCACTTAGTGCATTTTTTTATTTTTTTTTTATTTTTTTGGTTTTCAGCCGTCCCAATCATCCCTAGGGTTTTAGTCATTCATATCGGTGAGTGTGTTGTAGTCTTGATGTTATAGATTTTCATCTTACTTGTTAGATTTTAGAATTCGTCACGATGATTATGATAAAAATGGAGCAAATTTTGTCTGTGTTCATACATTCAAATCATTAATCGTCACAGATCGAGCCACCTTTTGACAGCGGTTGAGATTCTCCTTACGGAGAGTTTCCCGAGATCGATGGGAGGCTGTCTCATATCCTATTGCCTTGGGGACCAAAGTTTCTGCTATTACCATTTGGGAATGGCCATGAGAAATACATTCACAAATATATATATTATTCACCCAAAAAAAAAAAACCAAGAAAAAAAAAAAGAAAGGGTAAATAACACTTTATCACGCTGTGTTTGGTTGGAAATGTGGAAAGGAAAAGGGAAAAATATATAAAAAATTATATAAAATATAAATATATTTTACTTATATTTCACCTACCTCTTTCTTTTGTTTTTTCAAATTCCCTTTCAAATCTCTTAACCACACATAATAAGGTTTGGTCAAAAAACACCAAGCCCCCTAAATATTACTAGGTAATACTTATCCTTCGTATGTATCAAAACAGACGTGACAGAAAATATGAGAAGACAAAAGTAACCATGAAATGGTTTTTAAGCTTGTTAAACTTTTTTTTTTTTGATAGGCCAAAAAAAAAAAAAAAAAAATTTTTTTATAAAAAAAAAAGGAGATCCTAAAAAAACAAAAATTAATATTCGTCCCCATCTGTCAATCTTATTTTTATGGAGATCAATAAAAAAATAAAAACAATTTTTTTTTCATAATTTTGATATAGTTATGTTGATCTTCTTTTTAGGAAAGTTAAATGATCCAAAACTTTTGAAAATATAAAAAAAAACAACCTAAAATATATATTTTAATATAAACGAGATGATAATATCATTTATTTTTGGGTGAACCACCAATAAATCTCAAAATTTGATCTTGTGAACTGTTTAGTCCTTTTTTTTTTTTTCTTATGAATTCATAAGTCCCATTAAAATGAAAATTACACAAAAAGGTAGTCACCTACATATTTGGATTTAATTTTCTAACGATAAAAATGGGTTTCTCTAAATGTAAAATTACACATTTAGGCAATTCGCATTATAAAGGTCTTGGACTTTTACTCCTAGAACAAATCTCACATTACGAAAAAAAAAAAATGTAACACTCCAATAACATAATATTTTAATGTAACACTAACGTAACATTCAATGTAAAATACTAAAAAAATTATTGGTGCACTTTTCCCAAACGTAACAATGTAATACTCCAAAAAAATTTATTAATGTACTTTTTCCAAACGTAACACTTCAATGTAACACACAAAAAAAAGCTCCTTAGTATACTTTTTCCAAACGTAACACTCTCATCAATGTAATCCCAAACGTAACATTTAATGTAACACACAAAAATACTAAAAAATTTCTTAATGTAATTTTTTTAAACGTAACACTCAAAATTTGAAATTATACATTTGTTCAAAACTTATTAAGGAATTTTTGTACTCATTTTGAAATAGTTTGAAGAATCACACATCCTTTTGAAATAGTTTGAAGAATCCCGTATCATTTTTTTGATGTGTTACATTGGAGTGTTATGTTTAGAAAAAATACACCAAGAAATTTTTTCATATGTTATATTAGAATTTTACATTAAGAAATTTTTTCGAAATGTTATATTAGAGTGTTACGTTTAGAAAAAATACACCATTTTTTTTTAGTGTTATATTGGAGTGTTACATTTCAGTGTTATATTTGAAATTATACATTTGTCAAAAGTTTACTAAGAGATTTTTGTACTTCTTTTGAAATGTTTGAGGAATCTCACATCCTTTTGAAATGTTTGAAGGATCCAATATGTTAAGTCATTTTTGTATTCTTTTTGAAATATTTTTCAAATAAAAAAGATTCTCATATAAAAATTCATTCCAAATTTGATTCTAATAGATTGTGTACATTATTACCTTTCTAACACAAGAAAAAAAGAGAAGGAAACATAATAGAAATAAGGGTATAACCATAAATCTAATTTCTAAATAATAATCTACTTTTTCAAAATCAATGAGAGTAATTGGTCTATGAGAAAATCCTTGAGACAATGGATCATCATTTCTCGAAATGGGATTTATAGGTAAATTTTTCTTTATTTTTTTTATCTATATGACTAATAAATTAATGATAAAAATATAGCTAAGTATATATAAATTAAAATTGTAAGAAAATTTAATTTAATTATATCAAAATTGTAATGATTCAGTGAAACTTTACATTTTTTTATATTAATTTAAAATATATATATATATATATATTTGAACTTTTTTAGTTTTAGAGTTGATTGTGGTAGATAAAATGAAAAGACCAACAAACAAATGATACCCTTTGGCCTATTTTGACAACTTGAATGTAACCTATGTTTTTTGGCTTATACACAGTTATTTGACAGGATGAAAGAAAGTTACCTTTTTATTTTTTTTCAATATTATTTATTTATGGTGTCATAGGAAAATGGGTAAATTGACCACATTATCCCATATAATTTTGGGAAATTACAATTTTACCATTATAGCAGGGTATTTGGACATCACATGATAAGAGAATATTTTGATAATTTTGAAGGTTGACTTATTTCCAATTTCCTAAACAATTTTTTGCTCAAAAAAACTTGCTTTTGGCTTAGGCTTAGGCTTAGGAATAGAAGGAGAAGGTAGAAGAAGCAAATGGGAGCATCAACTTGAGCTTCGTCTCTGCGTCTCCAACAGCCTCCTCCATTTCAACCTTCTTCTGTCGCCAATCTTATTTAGCAGGTTATACATATGTATATTTGTGTGTCTGTGTCTGTGTAATTGTGATGATTATACAAATTTAAATTTAATATATATTTTTTTGATGATTTAAAACAGATAAGCAGCCACCAGAACAATCTTTCCACCTCTAGGGTTTGTAATTTCATCACATTAACAAACCCCCAATTTTTTTCTCTTATCTTTTGCATATGTATGTGTATCTGATGTATGTGTCTTGTGTACAATAACCCACTCAAACTCAATAAATTTTCTAAGAAAGTATATAGAAACTCTTTTGAACCATAATTTATTTTATTTTTTTTATTTTGAAGATGAGGCCTCTATGCATAATTTATCACATAGAAACAGAAACAGTTGTGGGTAAATTGATAAATACTCTCCTTTTCATTTTGGTTTTCCACACAAAATTTACTTATGTATGTGTCTTGGTTTTCATTTTGGTTTGTCATTTCAGTTAGGAAAATCCGACAAAAATTAATATCTAAAGGGAATAATTTTTTCTATTTCTAAGCAGCTTAGGTTATGATTGTCCCCAAATTTCATTTCCGGTGCATTTTTGAATGGATTATGACATTTCACGCTTTATAACGAATTTGTACTGGTTGGAAAATCATTTTGCTCATACTTTTTCTAAAACAATTCAAATTGATATGGACTTTTGACAAAGATATTACAAATCTTTGAACTATAAAGGGAGAAAAAAAAGAAGAATGAAGTAAAAAAAAAAAATGATGCACTAGGAAGAGACTACAAAACAGTCCAAGAAAGGTATACCTTTGAATAGATTATGTTGCTTCTTGAAGTACAGGGGCGGAATTGTTAAATTTGTTTCAAGTTTTAAAAAAAATTTAACAACAGATTGTTCTTATTCATACAAAAACCTTTCAAATTCTGAGCCTGTCAGTGCACTCATATTACTTTTGTTTTGTGTGTACGAATGGAAAATTATATGTGAGAACAATATTAATATCACCCTAAACAAACTAGAATGGCGAAAAAGCATTCATATAGCAGACCCCTAATATATTTCGAGACTCTTGGCATTAGAAGTCTTTGAAAAGCCTTGGATAGTCATCTCCAGAAGAAAGCATAGAAGTTGTTGGATCAGTGAATACTAGCTGACCATGGACTTGACTTAGAGCCAATGGATTAGTCTTGGATTGATTAACAGTTTATGACAGTTAGTATGCAAATCCTTTGGCAATATTTGGCAAGGAAACACGGGAAGCGTAAGATGATTTTTTTTTTTTTTTTTAAC